GATTTTTATGAGGTCTCAGATTCTCTTCCAAGAACTAAGGAGGAAGATTTTATAGAAGACTTGCTCACCAAGGATGTTGCAAAACAAGCTTTTGAGGCAGGTGAAGAAGTTCCTCCATACACAAGAGTCTCCACTATTGCTGGTGGAATCCATGCTGGTAGTATGGTACTTGTGGAAGATGAAGATATGGAAGAGGAAGTCCCTGAAGAAGATCCTGCAGTTGAACTTGAGAAAGATGAAGAAATGTTTGATGAGAATGCAGGTGCTTTTCCTTCAGAGGGACTAAAGATGGAAGTGGACCAGGAGGAAGCCAAGGATGAGTCAGCGCACTTTCTGTCAAGAGAGATAGGCGAGGACTCTGCTGCATCGTACTTACCATCAGGTGAGATGGATGCTAACCTTGATGATACTCCATGTCTGCCGAAATCTAAGAGAAGCCGCCTGAATAAAATTCCTGATCCTCATTTTCATGAAGAAGTTCAAGAAGGCGGTGGAGAAGATAAAAGAGGTCAGAGAGGATGATGGAGAGAAGAAATTGGAGGCTGAAATCCAAGAATCTTTTCCATCTGAAGTAGTTGCTGATAAAGATCCTGTGGATACTGACAATACCTATGAGTTGCATACCTCACCTTTGAGGTTGCTTGGAGAGATTACAAATGATCCAGGTATTGGCTTTTATCAACTATGCTTCAGGGAAACTCACGCGAGATTGCTGAACCATGTTTGTTTCAGAAAAGGTGAGCTTTCCCATCCTCACTATCAGGCAAGGATCAACGAGGACGACTTTGTTCGATCCATTAGAAAGGTCTGTCTAGTACCTCCACCTGATTGCTATGAGGACAGGTGCGAGCATGACCTGAAGAGATTTTTCATCAATGATGATCGCATCGTTTATTTGGATGACAGGTATCAGGTCGAACCAAGGGCCCTTGAAAGGGCAGAACAAGCTCGAGAAGATTTGGAGGTTACAAAGGAACAGTTTAGAGGAGAACTGGAAGCATATGGTCCCAAGGGACCCAGCTGGGATTTTGTCGCCTTCTATGAAGAGCTGTGCCAAAGGTTCCTCAAAGGAAGAATAGAAGAACAATATGGAACTAATTTATTGGCCAGCTCAGAGTCCTTGACATTTTTATCCTGGAACTATGGCAACATGGTTCGTGGTCAGAAATACACCACACCAAAGTTTCTCCAAGGACTTGATCGTGCAATGAAGCCACGCAAGCAGAGTGCCATGTCACTTCAATATGAGCAATTTGAAAACAACCTTTTCTTCAACATGCTCTTCTTTTTACGTGCACATGTTGTGATTCTCCAGGAAGCTCATCTCCTTGTTCCTGCCAAGGAATTTATTGAGCAGAAGAATTGGACAGTTTGTTTCAATGATTGGGAGAATCTTGCAGTGATGGCTAGATTGGCACCAGATGGCTATATCAAGATCATTGCTGGACATGACCAAGACCTTGGTCACTGTCAACAGCGTGATGTAACTTGGGCTATCTATGAGATTTGTTTTGGAGAAACAAGGCCTCGTCAGGACTTCAAGGGTGCAGACTATGAATTTGAGGACTATGGTCCTAAGGAAAAGCGTGTTCCACTTACTCGAGCGAACATGCATACCATCAGAGTCTGTAATTATCATGTTGATACACATCGTGCTGTGGATGCCCACCTACTGACAGGAGAACAGACAGCATTGATGCTTTATGAATGTTTTGTATATGAGGTGGACATCATTTCTGGTGATGCAAATAGTTTGGCCTACAGAATGTCTGGGTACAAAAGGCAACCAATGGCTAACTATTATTACAGCACCATGCAGCATTGGATCCGCAGGTTTTCAGAAGCCCGTGTAAAAGCAGATCCTGGTATCAAAGCACCTATTCCCAGAACATTTTACAGTTCATCTTCACTTGTCCTCAAGCAGTGTGAAGATTACTTTGAGAAACTCTGGGAAGAATACTCTACAGAAGAGAAAGAAGTGTACCAGGGATCAAAGCTTGGCGATACATGTTTGTCTACCATTGTTGAATGGGGTCATTCAATGAGTGGAGAGGAATATTCAAATTCCACATTGAGCACGAAGGAGTTCGTCTGTAATTTTTCAGAGAACTTTGCTTTGATTGACACGGAGGTCATGTGCTCTAAACCCTCTGACGATGATAGTCATGGTCCAATGTTTATTTCACTCAGACCAGCTTCCTTTTCATCTGGAGACAGAAGACTTTATCGCTCGGGCGAGACTCTTAGAGATGCTAACTTGCGGAGGAAGGAGAAACAGAAAGAGAATAAAAGGAAAGGAAGGCCGCCAACTTCTGGTCAAGCAGCTCCATCGACTGCAGCGGCATAACATTCAGAGCGGAGGCTAACTTTTAATGATAGCTAGGAAGTGAAGATACTTCTGATCACAGTTGATACTTTGCTTCCAGGCTTGACTTTAAGTTGCCAGGCTGAAGTTTTAATGAATTCTGGTTTGCAACAAGGAGAAACTTTTTGTCAAAGAAGATACTCCTGCATTCCAGGTTTATACGCTTTAGCATGCAGATAAATACAGTTTACTAAACGGTCATTATGGCAGGTAGGTATGGACAGTTTTTCAGAACTGATGATAACTGCCACAGCTGCTCTTTTGAAGTGACCTCTAATGGACAACCATTCATGGTTGATGATTAAGTCATTTCATAAGTTTGCAATTGTAGTGCAAGTTTTGTACATACATTTGCCGGTATCTCCTTCCTTTTTGTTTTTGGTGTCAATGAGAGAAAGAGTCCTTTTGATGCAGTTTAATTTTGATTTAAGTCCTGTGTATGGAAGCGGCCGAGACCACTTTTCGAGAAGACCATTCCTCGGACCGAGAGTTGACGCTCCTTGCATTTTTGCAAGGCATCTTAATTCGTTGCAGTTTGTGCGGTCTTGAATTTTTAGTTCTTCGTTACGCGAGTGTCGTTTACTGCTTTTACAGGCCTCTGTGTAAGAAAGCCGCTTCCCTTCGAATTTAAGTTTCTTTGAAGCTCTGGCTATTTAAGGGCTATTGAGCGCCGGTACATGGTATCTTCGCCGGTGAATGATACAGTCTCCAGCCGAGATACAATGTCTTTGACTTTGTATTTGAGGTGAGTCAGCTATTGCTCCCTCACTGTATTTAGTATACCTAGAGATTACCTTTTCTAAAGTGTGAAACACACTGGAATTGGTAAGTACAGGGCACCGTGGTTTCCTTTTCAGCTTACTAGAGCTTGCTGGACTGTTTTAGCCTTACGGTAGAAAAATAGTGTGCGACATACGCAATAGGCAGGAGTGGACATGAATTTTGTGCCTGCTGAAATGTAGAGGCCTACTTGTACAGGTTCCACTCCAGTGGCCTATCTAGTGTGTCCATACTTGACTGCCATAAGGCTCAAGAGGATAAGACTCTGCGCATAAAAGACACTAGCGGTCTGCACCTCAACCGTGTACGCCCTAGTCACTCTTTCACCCCCTCCCCCCCCCTCCCCTAGTAGGTAGTAGGTAGTAGGTAGTAGGTAGTAGGTGGTACGTAGTAGGTAGTAGGTAGTAGGTCGTGGGTCGTAGGTCGTAGGTCGTAGGTAGTAGGTCGTAGGTAGTAGGTAGTAGGTGGTACGTAGTAGGTAGTAGGTAGTAGGTCGCTGGATCAGAATAGACAACCTCTGATTCGGATTCGTTCCATTTCATTGTAAAACGACTTCGCTTGAAATCAACAGCAACAAACTCTCCCAGCAAAATGTGCAACTCCAATGCACCCACAAGTCTGATTGAGCAGGGTATTGTTGTTCGATGTCATTCTGGGTCTTTCATTTCAAACGGTTTGGAGAAAAAACGACAAATCATGCCAGATCTAGAAATTCTTCGGTCGCTTTGAAGCCTTCTGTGTGTGAAAAAGAATATCTGGTGCGTGTCGCAATCCCTCGAGATGGTCGAAAAAAAGATCTGAAAAGGAAAACATGCACACGGCCAAGTAGTTTGGAAGAAGAATCGTTTTCAAGGTTATGTTTTGTGGATAGTCTTGGTTCGCATTGCTTGTGTTGGTTTCACTTGGTTCCTCTTAGGTGATTCGACTGAGACATGCCGGTTCGGATCGCTGGATCAGAATAGACAACCTCTGATTCCGATTTGTCCCATTTCATGGTCAAACAACCTTGAAATAAACATCAACAAACTCACCCAGCCAAATGTGCACCTCCAATGCACCAACAAGTAGCCAAATGTGCACCTCCAATGCACCAACAAGTATGATTGAGCAGGGTATTGTATCATTAAGCTGCCTGCCAATGCGGGCTCGAGCTGGTGGCCGGCGGCATGTCGAAGGCTGTAAATAAATTGCGGAAGTGCACTCATGAATTGTAAGTCACGTACAAGCAACAAAGGGGTGGCCAAAATCGGGACACAAAACCAACTCAAAATGTCTTTGCTCTGAAGATCTCTGAAGGATGCAATGAGTGCCGGTGTTGGTGCTCTATTTCTCCTGTCTTCTCACCCACGTCCGCGTAAGACCGTGAAATGCACCCAGTGGGCGGATGGAGACATGCCAGTTGTCAAAGAAGGCACCCATAGATTTGAGGGTGGAATATGTGCCGACCTCATAGTGTTGTCTGTGAAACGTGTGTTTTCAAACGGATGTGTTTCAGCATGTTCTTGTCAACATGCCCCGTTCTTGTGGGGAGAAAAACCAGAGGCATTTCGCATCCAGCTAACCAGTGCGCCCATGGCCCTGTTGTTGCATAAAGTATATGTGTATGTGCACCTTGGCAAGCTCAACAGTCAATAATGTTAAAGGTTCCTTCAAAGTCTGCATAAAGTACAGTATGCATATTAAATATAGTCATACTGTAATATGACTACACCTAAGGATGAGGAGCGTCGAAGTGATTTTGTGCCGCTTCGAGCACGAACTTCTAAGCAGCGCCTCTCACACAAGGCCCAAGAGAATTCGATTCTAGCAAACAATCTCAAGGCAAATCGAACAGTTGATGACCTTGAGCTGGTGTGAGAGGGCCTTCAGGCGATTTCGCTTGGAGGGCAAACTTCGCTGACCCCCCAGGCGCGCCTTACACGCCTTGTGGCTTGCGGTGGCCCTATTGGTGGGACAAAGATTAAGATAAGCGCTTTGCGCCAGGGGACGGATGACAAATGGGCCGGACCATCACCCTCAACATGAGTATCACTTTCAAAGCAACAATGCGAACAACCATGGACTTGCATGAGAGAAGGAGGGAGGAGGTTCTTAAGCCTCCTAGCAATGCTATCTCAAAGCTGATGGCTTTAAGAAACATCTATCACAAACTCGCACTTCTCTCAGAATGCCCACCTGCCAGGACACAAAGCATCTCTATGCAAGGAGGATTGCAACATTGGCTTTGAATCTCCTACTGCCTTCGGCAAGGCTTGTTTGCGCTGCGAGCAGCCATCACATACCACAGCACCACAGGCATGGCCTGTCACTGTGAGGCTGCAAGTCTTGCACAAGCACATGAGAACAAATCATGGATGAGATTCTCATTCAACCACTCGCAAATCTCCAGGTAAATCAAGGTAACAAGGTATGTTGAAACTTGATCAAACATCAGACCTTCGCTGCACACTGAACGATTTCCGCATGGCAATTTCCCTACATGTCTGACTTGGCCAAGGGACACCGGCAGCGAGCTGCTAGGCGATGAGGCTCAGAGCGGAGCACTGTGGACCACACGAAGTCTGTGGAGCAGCAGGCGCCTCGAACACGATTGCACCAACTCACCCGACTGACCTGACCTGACTCAAAAATGGCGAAACAGAAAAGGATGCATTGAAATAACATAAAATAATCGATCAACTCAAACATGACCAACCAACCAACCAACCAACCAACCAACCTGCACCCCCAGTTTGATGAAAGTCACAACACCTAAGACTCCTGAACAAAATATGATGTGAACAGAGATTTTGGATATGCAAAAGAGCGACGGGCGCATGGCACAAATCACTCCCAGTTGCAACTTATAAATTGAACTTCAGGGAGGAAGAGGGGGAGAGAGAGAGAGAGGGGGAGAGAGAGAGAGAGAGAGAAGGTTTCTTTGAGAATCTGAGTCATTTTGGATGACTCCCTCCCCTTTCAGAATCTGAGGGGTGGCACACACAGCAGCTTGGTCCACTGGAGCCCAGGGTTGCGGGACAATGCCATTGGCAGCGAGCAACGCCTGTACAGTGCTGTCATTTTTCGTCAAGGCGACCAAGGGCCTTTGCTGGCATGAACAATGAAAACATGAAAAGAAAACAGTCTCAATGTCTAAGACTAAGAGACGGATGATGAGGTTTGTTCCTTGTCACACGATGCAAACACCGTTTCCAAAGAATGTTAACTTTCAGTGTCTCTTGTTCTGACTTTGTGGTTCTTCGTGATTCGCCTCCTGCAAGCCTTCACGATAACTGTCGCCGGAGTGGTCTTGGCCTTTCCGACGGGCTCAAACAGTCCGACGCGGTCCCAACCGGTCCGAAACCATCTGAAAGATCAGAAGTGCAGCCACACATGACAAGCAAAGGTCAGTGCCAATACCATGGTGCACCTGAATCCGATGCAGCACCTTGGACAATTCGATGGTTTCATATGATTTCAATATATAGGTAAAATCTGTCAGCAAAAAGATAAAAATCATAAATATTAAAATATTCCTCATGCACAAGCATGCTGGACGGCAAAGTCATTTCTCATTTGTTCCAAGAGGCAGGATGATTGCGTCTGATCCACCAAGCACGACGGGCTCCAGAATGCCGTGCCAAATGCAGCAAGCGGCCCGGTGGAACCAAGCGAATCTAAGGAAAACGCGTGGCACTGGAACTGACAAAAGGGATCCAAGAGGCCTTCCGGGGGCCTTTTTGTCTTTTGTTTATGTGTGTTTTTCGCCCGGGGAGGGGAGGCCGCAAGCTAGTTAGTGGCTAATAAGTTGGGCGCTCACTAGGACGCAGGGTAGCTCGTGCTGTTTCACGGAAGCTCCCCTTCAGTTGGTTCCTAGATTTTGCAGAAAAAGTAGATAAAACTTTTCCACTCAAGCTCCACATTGTAATCATTGTACACAGGACGCACCTGGAAACACGCTTCCCTTAAGTTCCACACATCTGCTGGGTCGGTATCATCTGGCTCCAGCAAGTCGTCGATCTCCTAGATACATGTGGCATCATGTGGCCTAGACCTTGTTTCTGAATCGTGTTTCACGTGGTTAATTCTGTCTGGGATTGGTGGAGCCTCCTCTGCTTCTGGCTCTGAGTCCTAGTCACACAGGTCATGCCAAGAGCAACACAGCTCATGGCAAAGCGACAGTGATAACCTGCAGTGAAAAGGAGGAAACTGAATGACAGTGTCAAAACCTGCAAGCCTCACCAGCACTGCCTTGTTTGAGTGCCTCCTGTAAAGAGCTACACTCGTCCAACAAATTCTGACAGGTCTGAAAGGTGCGCAGAATGGGGTCTGTTCCACATCAGCAATGTGCCCCATCCTGCTGCGAGTGTGGCTGTGCACACCTGTCAGAAGGGCCAGAAGGGAGCAAATCCTGCTGTCCAATGACAATACAAGATAGCTCTGAAAATCGGTGGAAGGCTGGAGGAAGACGTCAAGCAGCCTTCCACATACATGCAAGCATGCAGCCGTGTGCGCATGCGACTAAACACGCCATTCCAGCTTTGCTGCATATGAATGAGAGAGAGAGAGAGAGAAAAAAAAAAACAAATAGTGCATAGATTTTAAATCATAAATAAGTCTAGGACCCTAGGATCACCTGCTCACTCAAAATCCCTCTTACATTCAGCACCGTTCAGCTGGCGAGAAAATTGACAAATGCCCCCCTGCTCGGACCCACGAGGGTCTCGTAGCACTTCCCACTGGTCACTGCAGGTCTGCTTCTAGCTTTGCTGGTTGTTTACTTGAAAAAGGGGCTGAGCAAAGGGCGCATCACTGCATCTTCTTGGGCGAATTAAGAGCAAAGCCTGCTTGAAGCTATCAAGCGATCAAAAGCGAGGCTGCTCGTTCTAGGGCTTTTTGCCAATCGAATTAGTGAACTTGGCGGACTGGGCATCCAGGAATAGCTGGCTTCGAAGCCATCTACAAGTTTTTCTCTAACACCCCAAACACAATTCTCAGGAATGCTAGAATCAATTGACAGGTAGAGGTACAGAAGCCACCTCTACGCTGGCCAAACCGGCTGCCCAACTATATAGCCAGCAGCTCGTTTTGCAAGAGCTGGAGGTGGTGGGGGTGGCGCATCACCAGCTCCACCTTTCGCCCCTGCCAGTGACAGAAGCTCGCGTGCAAACCGCAAAGGTAGCCCTAATTGTTGAAGATCTGGAGCTGCAATGGTCCTGGATCAGGTGCACCAAAAAGGCAAGGAGATACCAAAGAACCAAACCTACTATAGTCACTATAGCTATGTGCCCAACCCTCTCCTCAAGCTGTCAACTGTATCGAACCAGCTTTCCTGCAAACAACAGCAGCTGAAAAATACATCATGCTACCTGCTGATCGCAATTGTGGATTGCTAATCCCCGTAGCAAATCTAGCAAGCTTCGATACACGAAGCGCAAATGAAGGCATGTACAAAATGAATATCGTGGGGGCGTACTTATTAACATTTGCATGTTGATTATAGCTTGCCATGCTCATCTCCACTGCACGCTCCAAAACCGAACGGTACGGTCCAAAGCCGAACTCAGCCAGCAAACCCCAACTATATAGCCGAACCGGCTCAGAGCCTACTCTGGGTTTGTCACGGCTCATCTTTAGCCTCTTTTGAGACAGAGTCCTCACCGCTGTGGCACCTTGGTGAACAAGGCACATTGGCCCCAATAGGCCACTATCACGCATTGGACCGGTGAGGGGCAACAAAAAGGCTCGTCTTTAGTCTATCTGAGTTTAGCCACTTCTGCTTAGGAATGGATGACAACCCATTTGATCCCATTTGTGGGAATGTCAAGGCAAAGTGCCTCCTATCCACCCTGTTAGCTTTCTCGTGCTTTTTCCCCCACCAAGGCGCCAGAGCCGATAGGGACGATAGGCCTGCCATGCTCTGCTTGTTCGTTGCCAGAGACATTTTCCTGAGGAAAATGCAGCAAATGCACAGTGCACTTGCTTCGCTTCGTCGTGAAGGATCTCACTCGATCCAACTTGGCCCCTCCTGCTCCCCCTTCCTTGCATTGCACTGTGTGGAGCTTGCCGTGTCATTAGATGTTTACACAAATGACCAAAAAAATAAAGTCCCTGCTGCAAAACATCAAATGCCCATGCTGTTTTAGTTTTGCATGCAGTGCTCGAGCGCATTGGCTTATGTTGGAGCTCTGTTCTCTTGCTCCGGGAGCTACTGGCTTGCCAAAGAAAGCCATAAAGCAAAACTGTTGTCAAACCGCACTAGACTTTTGACATTCTGCCGCGCGACAATCCCCACGCAATGATTTGGCTGATCAGAACGAAAGCCACGCTTGCAGGCAATAGCTTGGCCTTAATTTTCACACGTTAGCACTTTGGCCTTCAAGACTGCTTCTGCTCTTGGAGTCAGCTCCAGTCCCAGCCCATCATCCCCTGTCTATGTGGCGGGTGTTATGGCGGACTTGAGGACGGGAAAACGTGCTCTGCGATCTTAATAGACCAGCACATCCTTTTCCGAACTGTATTCGACCCCATTGTGCGCTTGTATCCGGCAGGTCCCACGAACACTTTGTATGACCTTAGCCGACAGGTGTTTTGCTGGATTCTTCTGCGTACCAGTACAGTTATATAGTTGCCCATGTTGACCCCGCTGACTTCAGAGCACTCCTATTTTGGACTCTCAGTGACCTGAAATCATTCCAAGGTGCGACCGTGAAAAGGCCAAAGCCTCAGAATGAGGGGAATTCTGCGGGTCCGTCCCTCATGTTCGTGTTGAGTCACTGCAGCTCCAAGCCAAGAAGCAAGAGAAAATCACCAAGAAAAGAGAGACGATAGTTTCAGCCGCCATGGCCGTCTTTGCCAATCTTGATCCAGCTCAGAAATCTAAGTCCAGGAGATGTGCGAGAAAAGGGCCACCACACTCAGCACTTGGGACCAGAAGAGTGTGAACGAAAGGAGCTAGGGCCTTAGGGGGAGATGTCCAAACATACAAGTGGTAGGGCCGTGACCGTTGGTTGCTTTTCGCGGTCAGGCGGCAAATCTTATGGTTGGTGAAACAGATTGTCTAAAGTTTCCCTCTAAAGACGAGATAGGTTGAAGATGGTTGAAGCATGTATTAAAGCGGCTGGAGACGTCAATGTTTGTACTGGTGGAGTGGCTGGTGGGTTTTGCTGCAGCATGGTGAGAAGGCATAGTGAGAAGGCATAGTGCACCTGTAGTTAGACGGTTCTTTTCTCGGTGGTTGTGGTAATGTGTCTACGGTACACTTAGCCGTAGGTGACATAAAATATTACAGTACCTCGGTGAAGTGGTTTCCAACCAAAACAAACCGTGAAGTTGAGCCCAGTGCGTTCTACATTATTTTCAGGCTTTGGGCCTTGGCCATCCTGCCAACTTCTGCAGAGACACTTCAAGCTAGCTGGAGCTAGCATGTATGACACACGATATTTTTTCTTGCTTGCACAGGAAATATAGTCTTGCCTAAAGGCAAGTTGCACGTATAGCAAACACTTTCAAATGCAGCATCCCATCCCAACATCTCCAGAAAGCAGCTACCATGTCGATCTCTTCTGAGCTTATGCATTTTGCCCACTCCTTTTGTCAGCGTCACCATCAGGCGCCTCTCTTAAGGAACGGCAGCTCTTGTGGCAAGCATGCTAATGGTGCAGTCTTGAAGAGCTCATGCTCCAAAGCCTGCCAACCCGACATGCACTACGCTTTGCTATGCTTTGCTTCTGCAACGAAAGGTCCTGTGAAAGAAAACTGCACATGTTGACACATTGAACTGTTGACACATTGAACATGCAATTGCTACATAGAAGAATACATCACACGCAGGTAGCTACTAAGATAGTTCTCTTCCTACATCCGGGAAGATGAACCTGGAACCTGAAAATGCACTGGGGGAAGATTAATTAAATTCATCCACAAACCAGTGGTTTTCAGATGTTTTCAGCTTCTTCTCGGGCATACGTCTTTGTTTCTTGACATGTCCGGGCTCCTACTCAGCCCTACTCGACAAGTGTACCGCCCATGTCAGATCTCCCATCCCGTGATGTCGCGTCTTAGTCCACCTCGGCTGCTTTGGGCCGCTGCTTGGGGTCCAAAGTCAGTAAGGCGTCAAGGAACCGCTGCGAGGCCTCCGAGAAGGCTCGGAGCTCTGGGAGCTCCGAGAGGGAGACCTTGGCTGGAAGGTGAGACTCCCCGTCCAGCCACGATGTGGCAATAGCGTGCCGTTCTAGTGATGCATATCAGCATATCGTGTTTCTTTTGGTGGACCAAATGACTGATGGATTTCTCAGTCAAATTCTCGGTGTGGAAAAGAACCAAGGGAATTAGTGAGAAGATGTGAGAAGTATTATGGCGCGTGCATATTGCCAAAAACCGCAAGACTGCAGAGCATCCATGCCATGACAACCAAATGCTCGCGGGACTTTCAGGCCCAAGTCTCTTTTGGGTGCGGTGTGAATTCCAGGAAGTTTGGCAGTGCTGAGACGTCTTTCCAAACCTCCTCTGATGGAGTGCCACGGCGTTCAATCACCTGCCAAATGAATATCCCTACTCCAGTGTCAAATTGACAGGAATTATCTCTATGCAGCAACATGAGGTTTGGAATGCGAAGACATGCGCCATGATGGAGCAGAATGCCAATTTAGATTTCTTCACTTGTTTTCTGGCCGCTAGTCTTCACAACATCTTGTGCCTTGCAGAGTCTAGCCTAGCCATGCCTAGCCATCTCGCCTGCCTTCTGAAGCATGTCGAATTCGCCGCGACCCGGGAAGAGCGGCTTCCGCAGCATCGTCTCTGCCACCACGCAGCCCAAGCTCCAAAGGTCCACGCTTTGTCCATAGAACTTGGCACCGAACAGCAGCTCCGGTGCTCGGTACCACAGCGTCGTGCACATCCCCGTCATCGGGCGCTCGCCGATGGACCGTGCGAAGCCGAAGTCACCTCACAGTTTTAGAGCTAACAACGAGCTCTCAGAGGGCTCCCAAGCAAAAACAAGCATGCGGAAATATGTAGAACGCGCATGAAACTTCACTTCATACAACTTTGCCACTGTGATCCACTGTTAGATGGGCAATAGTACACAGCTGTGGCATTGCACAGGCAACCCAAAGACACTCGCCGGTGCTTTCCGAGAAGATGGTTTCCCTTTCCTGAATTCTCCTGGCATGTTCACAAACCTGTTCTGAGTCGCTGAGCTTCGCAGTGCCATCGTGATAGCTCAAAAGCACATTGTTTGGTGTCACATCCTTAGTAACTTAGTGACTCTGGCCTTCCAGCAAGGCCGAAGCAACTTACATCAACGCAAAGTAACTTGGTCGGATATCTCGAGCAGCCAGCCAAGCCTAACGCAGCCCATTATATATGGGTGATGCTGACGCACAGCACCCGCACCCGGGTTGCCAAACACCAAACCCTGCCAAGTGGCTCGATGCACAAAGAAGCGTTCATGTAACCTCAGAGTCTTTGTTGCTTTGGCAAGCATGCTTGGTTTTGGAGGCCACAACCTCCAAAACATAAAGCGCATGTAAGCTTCTCTGGAGAAAAAAATGCCTCAAGAACGGAATTCGCTACACAAACATACACAAACGAGGTTTTGGAAGGGTACAAGACATTCCACCACTTTTTTCGCCATTCCAAGAGACGCTTGCAAACCTTGAAGCACCTGATGCGCCAGGCATTTGCAGTGTGACTCCGTCAGGAACACTGACTTGTCCTGATCGAAAACCCATCGGGGACACACCTGCTGTAGATCCTTTTTTGGTAGGCCCTGGTAGGCATACTAGGCATACCATGTCATGTAGCACTACACCAGGAAGCAAAGGTTTCGGTACTAGTACTACACTCTCAATTCAGAGGAAACCAACCTTTGGTTTGGCTCAATGCATCAAGGCATGAAGCAAAAGCCCACACACCACACTGACACTATGATCCAGTTTGCATGGAAACAGCATCCTCGATGACCTTCTTGAGATCGCCATCCATGAATTCCATGACCAGGTGTAGAGCGCCACCCTCCACAAAGACATCAAGGCAAGTCATCCTAAGGTTGAAAAACATAGCAAGGCCTGGGACATCTGTGCACATCAGTTGCCTTCTGTTGCCCTTGACGTGTGAAGGGGTGTGTCAAAAGCCCTTCATTTGACTTGTCTCTTGACGTCTTCTCCGTGCAAATGGTACAGGTTCGCTTCCGGTGCCATATTGAAAATGACTATGCCAGGTTGAAGGTGTGTCTCAAGCTTGGAACCGCCAATCCCCTTGTCCTTTTCCATCTCAGGTGGTCCTGTCCTATTACAATACAAATGCAGTAAGGGAAGAAACAAACATTAATCCAGCCCCATTCCCTCAGTTTGTTAGGCCAGGTCATTCTTTGATCCTTTTTGTTCTGAAGGCTCCACATGATCTGCCAAGCAGCACATTGGGATGTCTGATGGCATTCATCACCTTGACCTCCCTCAAGGCTGTAAATCCAATGCCGCCAACATCGCGGTCCGCAGCAGATTCCTTGGCCTTTTTAATCGCCACGATCTGTCCGGTCTTGATGTGAAATGCCTTGTGCACCTGGCACAAGTGATGTGAAGGCTACTGGATCAAGTCTAGGATCAAGGGATGAGACACCATGAGTTTGGTCGTGGCCTTTCCATAGGTTCCTTCTCCAATGTTCGACTCCAAGCGCTCATACTTCGCGGCCGGCGAAGTAAGCTCTGATGCTGAGGTCGCAGGGCTTGATGCCACCATGGCGCTCGAACGGTGTGGAACCCACGGATGTATGGTGCAACCTGAAGGGATACCCAGCAGGAGGGTATTCAAGCATATGCACCGTATTGCACCGTCCAATGTACAATGTTCGACCGTTCGACCTGTAACTTTCTATCTGACAGCCTGCATTCGCAAATCATACTCATGCCATTTGCCTCAGAGTTCATCACCACAACCCGGACATGTGTGGGCCAAGCTGTTCAATGCGTGGGTCCTTCTTCTGAATCACTTCGATCCAATGGCACATTGCGAATGATCATGCGTCTGTGGAGGGTAGTGTGCGCCGGTACTAGTTTCCCTCCACTCAAAGTCCAGCTTCGGCATTGTCACTGTCAGTTCGGAGAGATCTGTGACTAGCAGTGACTAGCTTATTGACTCTTATTGACATGTTCACATCCATTGGTTGTCGTCCTAACGCATGGTAGCTGAGTACTTCCCATGACCCCTCAGGTCCTCTTGCGCGGTGGTGCAACACAAAAAGCCTTTCTGCTTGCGAACCTCAGGCTGAATCACAAGTGGCAGTCCAATGCTTTCTAGCCCGCCAGCTCGAGGTCCAAACCTTCTTGGCCTTCGCCTGTGCGTATCAGCTCTTTGGAGGCCACGGGAGTTTTCAAAATCACACTTGCTGGCAACTATCTATGAAGGCCATCGCTCTTACATCGCTGGTAGGTTGGAGGTCATCGCTAGTAGGTTGGAGGCCATCGCTCTTGGGTTGGAGGCCATTGCTAGTAGGTCGGAGGCCATCACTATCTCTTCAGCTATGTACAGTCTTTAAGCCGGAACAAACATGTTTCGAGCAGGGCCTCCATTGACTCCTCAACCGCCACCTGCCAAGTCCCAGAAAGGGCCCCCTAGCTGATGTCACCACAATGAATCTCCGGATGATCTAATGATCTGAACCGTGATCACCATGATCAATAATACAATCTCACATGTGGGTAGCCATTGCGGCTTAGACACCTTTGCCCTTGAAACGCAGCTGGGTTTGAAGGTTCTTGCCTTGGCGGAGGTGCCTGGCTGTGGTGCTGGGATGCCCAATTCCGCCAGCTCCTGCCACGATTCCAACCTGCTACAGTAGACCAGGGCCTTCCAATCTGAACCCAAAAATGTGTCCATCAACAACGCTGTTCTTTCTGGTTCGCAAGAAGTTGGAAGTCTTTGGCGCTAGATTTGCCACATTTGATCACATTTGCCTGTCCTTGGCGGCCTCCTCTCCCTGCTGCACCTCCGCTGCTGTCAAGCTAGCACTCTTGCTTCGCCTGAGGACAATACAATCAAAAAGAAAGTTACCACGGATAGACGAAACCCAAAACGGGTTATCGACTGTCTCGGAGGTGGCCCCCCTCAAGCTGCCAGACGACCCTGGACTGCGCACCGGGGAGCTGGTGAAAACTATTCAAAACAACCTTCACTGACGACCTTAGGAGAACGATACAGTAGAGCACATTTGAGAACATGTTGACCTCATATGACCTCATCCAATATTGGCCGGATCTGTCCCTGTGCATCTTTCCATCCAGATCCACCCAAGGGAAATGGAAGTCCCTTCAAGCCGGTGACGTCTTCTTCTCCGTTATGTTGTTGATATCCTTCAAAGCTTCAATATCCTGCAGTAGCAGCGGCATGCAGCGGCATTGGGTACACAAATATTGGACATACCACACTCCAAGTGTCGCGGCATCAATCGGAATGATTTCAACACCCGGTGGCTCCAATCTGACTCAACCGAACAACGCACGAAATAAGGAAAGAACGCACAAAAAACCAAACAACGCACCCGTCCTCAGCTACAAAGAGCCGCACGGCCTGACATGAAAATGCGCATGTGCACCGTGCGCTCCGTAATGTCGCCATCTCGTACCTCACGGCGGGACGAAAGCTCTTCCCGCAGCTTCCTCGCGGTCTCGATGCTGAGCCGGGGTACCTGGGCGGCATCGGATCCTTCGGCGTGGTATGAGGTGCCTCAGGTGGCATCATGCAAACTCCTTCACTTGCTGTGCGTGGCCATCACGCTATACAGCTTTCATTGGCAGAGCTGAGGTGGCCCTTAATGGATTCTGAGCAAAGCGTGAGCAGCTAGCACTCAAGAAATAATGTCACAGCAACATACAGCAAATCCGCCAGTGCCGAAGGTGCTGAGGCACCTTCTGACAGTTCTTTACAAAGTTACAAAGTAGATCGATGTTCGAGGTTTTCGGAGCAAATTCTTCCCAACATGGACTCATCTTGGGGTCAAATTCGGCCAACTTGGGCTTGGTCCAAATGGATCCCAAGCTGAGCTCATGTTCCAAAGATGTTGCCTTGTGAAATTTTATCAAACTGCAGTTTTTGACACATGTTTTTCATTGCTTTTCGGTCTTTGGCCGCCAACAAAAACCAGCTTGAGCCCATTGAACCTAACGACCTAACATGCTGTGTCAACTGAATCCAAGTATATAATTTGAACGCAAACCAGGCCCAAGTTGCATCATGTTGGGCCCAACTTCACCCTAAACGGGCCCAAAATGCCCCATGTCGGGCACTTGGGCCAACATTGGCGCCAAGTGGCCCTCAACTTGCGGCTACTTGCCCTCAACTTGTGCTCACATTTTGCCCAACATGGGGCAATTAAGGCTCAACTTGGACCAAGCTGACCTCAACGCTATTCACCCAATCAGGGGAACATAGAAAGGCGTTCCACAGTTCCACAATGACCAAATTTGAATATCAATGAAAAAGTCCGACGCACGATTCTGATCCGATCCTGGCGGTGTGCCGTGGAGCGACCTGGGGGTCCATGCAATGTCCTCGCAATTGATGACCGTCACAGCGTGGCCCTCGCAAAACTTCCCAAAGCTACCTCGGCCGAAAAGGGCAAACGACGAGGTGATGAACAGATTGGCGGAAAACAATTCTGACGAGAACAAACTGGGGATAGGGAGAACCCAATGGACCTATTCTACAATTAACTCGCATAAGGGGGGTGAACAAGAAAACCGGGAACAATCACATCAGAAGTAGAGTGAGTAAAGAATAAAGAGAGAGAGAGAGAGTGATATATATTATATATAGAGAGAGAGAGAGGGAGAGAGAGGGAGAGAGATCCTGTCGTGAAGACAACACTAAATAAGCCAAGGCAGGGCGGATTGGCATCCTCTGCGGTGCAGCCTACTGCTTGGCTCTCCACATCCCCCACCCTGAGATGTTTGTCAGTACTGAATGGTGCGTGTGCTGCCCGGGGGGGGTAAAGCCATCTTCATCGATCGACCAAAAGGCAGCCGCACCATTTCCAACCGCTGGCGTAGCATAGCAAAGGCTTCTGACCTGTCGAGATCTGAACAAGAGCGAGGCCCATCACTTGGCATGAAATCAAAAAGTTGTCCAATTCTGCAGCAAAACCTGGTGTCAATTCCAAACATGCACACAACACATGATTGGCAAGTTGACTTATTGTTGAGCACCAATTGTAATGTGCAGTTTGCGGTCGAGACTGGTGAGACTGTGCCTTCTTCAACTTCACACCTTCAATTCCCAAGCGGCAAATGGCCCCGGCAATTGCAGAAACTCCTGGCCAAGGTCGGGGTGGAATTGGATGTCCTTTCCCTTTACCTGCCAACAAAACACCCATTATTGGTCATTCTGCAACTTTCCCGGCCAAGGTTAGGTGCGCCGCTCCAAAAAACAAAACATGCTTAGAGTTTAGAATCTAGAACCCGCTCAAAGACAAAACAAAGCACACAGTTTGTCCAAACAATTTGAAAACCTATGGCCAAAGCGCCTGCGCCCAAGGAGTGGCCAATGAAAAGCACCTGTTCCAACCAGACATCAAGATCCGAAGAGCTATCAAATACCATCTGGCAAGTCTTTCCACAGCCCTTCAGCGTCCTTTCCCGCAGCAACTCACCAAATCAAAGAACAAAACAGAAGGAAACAACAAATAAACACATGAATCTACGCAACCAATCGAATGGCGAATGATCTGCACCTCGTAGCCATCCTTCTCGAACCTCTCCAGCGCACTCCCCACAATGCGCACAATCGCACATGCCTGTCACAAGCACAGGACGCTCCAAAAACACATCGGGAATCCCTTTCTCAGACGGGAAGTTGTCAAAACACATAGCACATACTCCTTTGTAGCACCAAGCTACCGATATATCCATGGTTTTAAAAAAACGTGTATATAAACGTGCTTTTCGGTTTCTTCATAGGGTTTGGCACAGCGATTTCACAGCGGCTTCTCCACAACCCTTATGAGTTCGATTACTGTAGCATTCTGGAGCTCCTTTCATTGCCGAATGAGGAGAGAGAAAGTAAGTTCATTGAAAACTACAAGTTGCCAGCCTGGCGCATCATGCCACGATGCACCCAGCCAACAGAACTGCCAGACCACGCAGAAATTAAAGCTGCAATAGACTCATGCACTGGTCACAATTCCACACCAATGTGGTGCAATCTGAGGTTTCCTTTAGTTTCCTTCAGTCTCTATGTGTCTCAATCTGCTTCTCACTTCTCACCATTTTTCACGCACCATCTGCACTGCAGGTCCCATCGAGTCGTGAAGGCGCAAACAAACGAACCGCGCGCCTGCCATCTGCCACCACGCGGACGGGCAAGGCCTTGAGGTCCGTGACGCAGTCCCCAGGACTTTGGGTCCCAGGCACCAGTACTGCTACACGCTTGGCCTTGGCATGTTGATTGAATTCTGTTGGTCTTGGGGACATCGCACAGCAGTGCACAGGCAGTCTTGAAACATCTTGAAACACGATTGAACATTGTATTTGGCTTCAGGGCCCCTTTTCATCTTTCAATCTGCAGGAATGTTTGGACCAAATAGACTGGCGTTCCGGCTCGTCGATCCACTGCGACTACGAAAGCTGGCTGTCCGCCAGGCCCCTGCCACAGACTCACTCCGAACCCACAACAAAAACGACTAGCAGGACTAGCAAAGAATGGGGTATGCTACGCTCATAAGGCTCATGAGGTGCTCATGGTGTCCAACAAAGTTCACGGCACCCTTTTTTATCAGCACCTCAGGACGTCCATCTACACCTGCGCTCAGTCTGCTTTGCGTCTGAAGGAGCAGCCCTCCTGGGTTTCACAAGGGGCAAGGTCACCAAGGTCCTTCAGAACGTCTCCTTCTCAGGCTTTATCCACTATATAGGCGACTACGTGCTTGAAGGCTTGTGACTAGCAAACCAGCTTGCAACCATGTTTCTGTAAGGCGAGCCAGACCTCCTGTAGGCTGGCACAGCATCACCTTTTGCAAGTTTTTGCGTCGGATTTGTTTTTCCCGAAAGCACTGCGAAGGGTTCTTCCGGAAAATCCCTTGAACACTGACACTTCGACACTTACACTTACACACTGACATTTCCACACTTACACACACACGCACACTGGAAGAGCGAAAGCATCCAAGTGCGAAGTATGCCAGTGTCAAAGTATGCAAGTGTAAGTATGCAAGCATGATATGCAAGGGTGAGTATGCAAGATGCAAGCATGCAATGAGTAGGCAAGTGTGAGTATGGAAAACTAGCACGGGAGATGTCCTAATGAAAAAACACTTCCCCACTTTATAAGTTCTCTCTTAAAGGCGGAGTGCGGGACGAACAGCGTCAACCGAAAGTGCAACCCTCTGCGGAGATCGTGCGTGTCGAGTGCGCGAAATGCAGGCGAGCGTGCGATTTGCCGGCTGCGCGCGCAGCCCTCTGCGGAGATCGTGCGTGTCGAGTGCGCGAAATGCAGGCGAGAGTGCGATTTG